AGAAACTTAACCTAATGGGCAACTGGAATACAGGGCAACATGGATAGAAGCATGCCTGTTTGGGAGCACTACCAAAGGAAGGTGCTGGCTATACCAGTATGAGGTGTGAACAATTCCAAATAGATATAGTAGATACCAACTTTTTTTTTCCACTTGCTCTTTTTTGCTGACTATCAGTAGTAACACTAAAGTGGCTTAGTAACTGTAAAGTCCAAAAAGGAACTATAATAGTGTGTGTATGTATAATGTAAAAACAAATAAGTACCTATATATTTTATAAAGACACACACATAGAGGTTTGACTTTCATCCCAGTGTGAATTCCCAGCCTCCCAATGTTTATGGCAGTAGAAAGAGAGGAGTACCTGCCGCCACCTTTGAGGCTGACACTGAGACAGGAGACAAGCCCGAAGCCAGCCTTTGCCTTTCTTCCCAGGGACCAATTATCCCTTTCCCAACACCAGCCCGGCTCTGTGTTTATCCAGGAGTTTAAGGATCCTGCCTTTTTCTAAGCAAAAAATTCTTCTCTAAACCCTTAGCAACCAAATTTGGGTCAAAACACAAAGTTGGGAACTAAAGTAGTTGAAGAAAATAAAAGTAAAGCAAAAGAATACATTTCATTGTAATTTTTTTTTAAGAAGTCAAGTTACCCATAAAACTGAAAGAGTATATCCATACTGACTCTAATTGTAGATTGGGGGGGTGGGGGTATTTAGAACATATTCAAAGAAAGAAAAACTATTTGAGAAAGAAAGGAAGCCAGTTCTCCCAGTGAGCTGAAGAAGCACATAACCTATACATAGTCAGACAATTGAGGAATTCTGTGAATCACACACTCGGGAAGTGACAGATACCGAAGTGAACTTGGGCAATGATTATCAAGTGACAAGATGGGGTCCTCAGGTATTAATCTGCTCTATATGGAATCCCCATCCTAGTGTCTTCCAGAAGGAGAAAAAATAAACAGCAGACTGAACTTGGCAGGATTTCTAAAACTGAATATATAATAAATATGGATCATTAACTTTTACATAGGCAATGGCAACCTAAAATTTTAGAAAGCGTTATTAATTCAATAATATCTTGTATTTTCCGTTATCATTTATTTGCTGGACAAAAATTAGTTGCATTCACACATGCATGGGCTCACTGGGACAAATGCTTACCAGGCTATTCTTAAATATGTTAAGATTTATCATCCGTCAGACCCGCCTGAGTTAGGAAGCCGGGTGGAACGGAAGGGAAAGGAACAGAACTGAGAGTCAGGGGAGGTTGGTTCCAGTCCCGCCTCCATCATAAACACCTGTTTGATCCCTGCCACGTCACTTCAGTGATGTGACATTTCAGTATTTCTAAAATGAAGCAGTCGAACTACATACCTTATAGCTCTAAAATGTTAAGCCAGTTTTAATTTCTAGTTCTCATTATCACTCTGTAGAAGTTTATTTCTATTAAAGTAGTACATACACGAGACTACTTCCTAAAGGTCAGTCTCTAAGATAAAAAGGTCAATACAAAACTTTTCCCACTTCACCTTTGGGATAAGATACAAAGAGAAGAATAAATCACATCTGTTAGTTTGCATAAAGAAAAAAGTAGAGTTGAGAGAGCATTCTCTTTTTATTTGGTTTTTAGTTAACCAGAATTCTTATTAACCATATTTCTGCAAATTCTTCACACAATCATCCCTTAAACCCTAATCAGTCTGGTTCTACACTATGCTCCTTTCTATCACCTGTTTCACTTCCAGGTTTAGTATGATGACAAAAATGTCTTCTGACTTAATAATGTATGTTATCATAATTTGAAAAAAGGTAAGGATTTTTCACTTACTACTATCAGATTAAGTTACTCTTTGCTTCAATGTCTGTATCTGTAAAATAAGGATAAACAATAATCTCTCTCAAGATTGTTGAAAAGATTAAATAAAATGCACAAAAGCATAGTAACTAGCACAAAAAAGTGCATTCAATAAACATTTGTATGTTTTAAAGGTATGACAATTACCTACAAAAGTTACTTAAATACCTCATTCCCTAGTTAATAGCATATTCACTCCAACAGATGTAGCTGAATAACACAACTAGAATGTTTAAATCATGCAACTGTTAAGTATTGTTTTAAAAATTCAACTCAATAAACATATATTGAGCATTTACTATGTGCCAGGTACTACGATGCTAGGGTTCCAGAATTCAGTGAATAAGAAATGACCCCACTCTCAAAAAGCTCACAGTCTAGAAGAGATAGATAACAATTATAATGTAACTGAAAAATAGAATAATAAAGCATTACAAGGAGCAGAAGTAGCAGGATGAAGCAAGTAATTCACTCTGTCTGAAGGAGTAAAGAGAAAGTAACTAAGGTGGCATGGAAAAGGGGAAAAAGAAGTAGTTGTGCCAAAAAAGATGGGGGTGTAGAGCTTAGCTCAGACATTTACCAGCTATCTGATTTGGGGGCAACTTAACGGACCTCTCTGAGCTTCTTCATAAATCTACTTGGGAGAGTTATCCTGAAGATTAGAAAGAATATATGTAAAATGCCTGATGGTAGGAGTTCAATAAATGGGAGTTGTCTTGTTTTAGGAGTTGTTTTTTCAATAGACCAAGTTCTAAATGGTACTGTAGGTAGCATCTCTTGACTAATGATTAAGCTACATACGGGATCATTAGGGTCACTAGCATGGAGAAGGCCATAATGAACATCATCAGAATGTTACCATTACAGAGTTCACTTTTTTTTTTTTTTGGTGAGGAAGACCAGCTCTGAGCTAACATCTATCGCCAATCCTCCTCCTTTTTATTTTTCCCCCAAAGCCCCAGTAGATAGTCGTATGTCATAGCTGCACATCCTTCTAGTTGCTGTATGTGGGACGCGGCCTCAGCATGGCTGGAGAAGCGGTGCGTCGGTGCGTGCCCGGGGTCCGAACCCGGGTCGCCAGTAGCAGAGCGCACGCACTAAACCGCTAAGCCACGGGCCGGCCCCAGAGTTCACTTTTTAGAAGTGATGTGATTCCTAACACATAGTACACTCAGCTGCTGGTGAAGCATATTTCTCATCTACTTCTTTCTCCCTTTTACCCTGACAAACAGAATTTTGCATACTCAGACTCTATTTATTTCCTAGAAGAGGTTCCCATGGTCCTCAATCCTAGTTTGGGATGTTCAGCATATCCTTGATGAAATGGCAAAGCCCGATGAGCAACTGATGATTATTAAAATTCTATTAGGAGATAATTAGAGATAACTCTGGGTTGAAACTACTATTATTAACCTAATGGCTGACTTATGGAACTGGAAGCCAGTATAATGATTAGAATCAAAGTAAATATTTTAAAATATTATTAAATCTGGCCAAGAAGTAAGTTACATTTACATTACTCTTTGGCTCCCAAAGCGAATTTTCTCTAAATACCCATTGATGAGCTAAGCCAGTTATTAACATATACAAATATATACATTCTTAAGTCCTTATTTTTCATTTCACTCTAAGAAACATAACTGATACAACATCTGAAATATTAACAGTGGATAAATACAAGCAAAGCCATAAGTAAGATAAAAGCAGTCTATCGCTAACTTCAATGGAATCATGAAATGGTCTTTATGTCAGCGTAGTTTTTGAGAACTAAAAACATGTTCTTGACCCAAAACCATCATGTAAGGTCAGTTTGCTCCAAGTTAAATAAGTACATATTAAAAGTGAGGACACCATGAGACAATCCACAATCCACATTAATTTTCTAGTTTCCGCATTCAAGGAAACCACTGTCTTTAAATTCATCCTTGTGGTATATAATTCCAAAAATTTTTTCTCTATGAATATCTTAATTCCATATCATGCCAGACTTTAAAATATATCTATATTGTATATACACACACACTTATGTGTATGTAGTCTCTCAAGACAAGCTATATTTGTAAAATACTCTTAAGCAGGTTGACATAATGCATTTTGAAATACTAATGTTCTATCAAAATTAGCCCTTATACATTTTGAAGAATTAAATCCTGAGTATGTTTTTAAGTTTTTTCTCTGAAGAGCAGGCACTGAGGAGTCACCAAATTGCAAATGAATCTCTTTCTTGGAAACACTAATCTTTAGAGGATATTTTTTTAAATTCAGAACTCAGAGAATAATATAAGCATTTCCACAGCAACAAAACCTTCGCAAAGTTTCTTCACAGAGCAAACCTATAAATTCGATAAAAATACGTGAATATTATTGCTCACTTTTACAATTACAAGTTGATGTTAATTATTATAATGTAGTTAAGTCCCATTCCTTCCTGATAGCCTTGACATGAAAGGAAATACACACAATTATCAAATGTCACAGAAGCGGCAGCCTGAAGCCAGAGGGAAACAGACAAAAGGAAATAAGAGAGGGAGGAGAAATATGGTTAAAGCTAAAATGCTTAGAATGCACTAGACCTTGACCCAGCCCCTGACTCACTATAATCTACTTAATTAGTCAGCTATATCACCAAAAAAATGAACAGTTGGAGCAAACTGATCATTGTGAGTAGGGAATTTAAGTCCTACATTCTGTTTGAGATTTGCCAGAAAAAGAGTTAAACAGAAAAAGATCTAAACAGCAAGATGCGGGGGGTGTGCGCGTGTGCGTGCGCGCACGGGGGTAGGGGATGAATAAAAGCTAACAGAGCTCAAGTCTCCTCACTAATGCTATTCCGCGCACACTACACAGGCAGGGCCATCGGGAGCCCTCCCCGCGCAGGGCAGGAGGCGGGGGTCGTGGATTCTCCCCCAGCGATTCGGCAGTCTCCGAGCGCCAGGGGGCACGGGTGGCGGGAGTTGGCACCCCCAGAACAGGCGCGGAGTGGATCCGATTAACGCCTTCCTCGCCAGGACCTGGGACCGCGAGCGCCCGAGCGGGGCGCGCACGGGGGTGGGGCGGCGAGGAGCTTCCTCTCCTCGGGAGGGAGAAAGGCGGCAAGGGGCGGCACCGCATCCCGGTCCCCACCCCGGGCGCACCAATTACCAGTGAGGTTCCTCAGCACCGTCCCGTGGGCCCAGAGGCTCAGGACCTGCTGCACCGAGAGGTTGATCATGGAGTGGTCGCCCCCCTCCGCCTTCATCTTCCCCGGGGGGCGCCCGCCGCCCTCTCCTCGGGCGCCGGGCGGCGGCTGCGAGGCTCCGGGGGCGGCGGCGGGTACGCGGCTCCTCCAGGCCGCCGCCGCCGCCGGGGGAGGCTGCGGGGCACCGGGCTGGGCGCTGCTGCTGCCGCCGACGGGCCTCCGGGGGGGTCCGCTCAGCGCGTCTCCCAGGCAGCCCCCTCCCCGCCGGGGAGACATTGAGGACGGCGGACGGGGGAGTGGAGGGGGCCCGGCGCTCTGTCCGCGCGGCCCCCGAGCGAGGACTCGGGGCGGAGGAGGCCGCTGCCGCTCCCTGTCAGGGGCAGCACCGCGCCGCGGGGGCCGGACACGCGAGGAGGCCGAGGTCACGCCGGGAGGCCCGGGGTGATGGGCAGCCAGCAGGTGCAGCCCCCGACGGGGCCCAGCTCATCACCGCGAGAGCACGAGAAGACCCCGAGGAGGCTGCGGCGGCGGCCGCGGCGGCACCTGCCGCCAGCCTGTCCACCCTCCCGCCGCCGACACTCGAGGAACCACCCCCTCCACCCGCGGCCGCCGCCGGGCCGCTCGTGCGCGCGCGCACGGGTCCGCACCTCCCCCGCCCACCCCGGAGCCGCTGCGCATGCTCACTGTCTCCCTTCCCGCGACCCGCCGCCCTCCGACAGCGGGCCGGCCCCAAACTCCTTCTCCCCCTCCCCGCGCGCGCGAGCTCGCGTGGCTGACAGCGCCGAGTGTGTCGGCCCGCAGTGGGGCGGAGAGAAGCGCGTCCTACGTCACTAGCGCCACCGCCGGGCCTCGCCGCTGATTGGATGCTCCAAGGGTACCACCTCCACGCCCTCCCCGCCCCCAGACCCCGGGCGCGCGCCCTGAGACAGCTGGAGCCTTTGGCCAGAGGCTGAGTGGCAGCCCGACCCGGGGGGGCGGGCTAGACCCACCGCGGAGGGACCGCGGGGTGCTAAACTCAGTGAGATGGGTCTTGTACAGTTTAGATCTTTGGCTTCGAATGAAATACTTTTGATAAAGATGTTTGCAAGTACACCTTTTTTTTTTAAGGCATAAATATCTCAACATTTTAGATTTATTAATTTGCGGGGTTTTTTTTTCTGATTGAGTCAGATGACCTGAATAGGTCACTACTTGCAGAATATATTTGAAAGCCACTAAAACAGAAATAGGCCCGCTTTATCATTCATCCGGTCCTTCTTCCCACAGCAAGAACTCGGGCCCCCCGTGGTTCCATCGTCTGAAGTCACCTACAGACATAGAGCTCGCAGGTGTCCTACTCCTCAACGCCATGCTGGTCTAGCTCTTTTTTCATTGCAGTATTCTTTTTCTCTAAATTGTAAAAGTCTGTTATTTTTTCCCCTAGGACTGAAACTAGATCTCTCTTCTCTTGGTTTGCTGCCTTTCTTCATGTCCATCGTTAGGCGGAGGAGCTGTCTAAAACCCAACTACAACGAACTAAGCTCCTCCTTGAAGTTTGAAACCTTTTAACTTGAAAAATAAAAATTAAGTTTTGGCGATAATAAAATATGCAATAGCCAGCACCCCCCGGAACACACACACTCCATCCTTTTCCAACCCTCCTGCTATCTGAAAAGAAAATCTACAAAGGAAAGCAAAGAAGTTCATGCTGTAGCTAAGTCATCAAATATATTTGGCAAAGAGTAGAAAGAGTTGAATCACCCGTAAAACGGTGCTCTTGGTGACTACTTTAAAGATAATTATATATGTGTATATATATGTATATAGTCTATTGTTCGTTTGATGCCACAATACAGAAAAGGGAAACTTTTGCATCATTAATAGGAATTAAGCCAAAACTCATAGAGTTTACCTTCCTCCTAGAGTTTAGAATTAATTAGATCTTAACTTAAGATTATAGAACATTAGACTTAAAAGAAGCTTTAACATTTTTAAAGTTCACTTAATTTTACCAATTTGTTCTTAATGCTGTTGAATCAATTCTGACTCCTAGTGACTCTGTACAGAAGAACAGAACCCTACTTTTTGCGCCATCCTACCACCTTCCAGCACTATATCAGACAATTCTCCACTTCCATTCACAGGGTTTTCATGGCCGACTTTTTCGTAAGTGGGTGGCCAGGGCCTTCTTCCTAGTCTATCTTAGTCTGGAAGCTCTGCTGAAACCCATCCACCGTGGGTGACCCTGCTGGTATTTGAAAAACCGGTGACATAGCTTTCAGCGTCACAGCAACAGCAGCTGCCACAGTATGACAACCGACAGATGGGTGGTGTGGTTTCCTGGCTGGGGAAAACACCCTGGCTTCAGCGGTAAAAGCGCCGAATCTTAAACACTAGACCACGAGGGCTGGCTATTTTGCAGAAAGGGAAACAGATTCTGCAGAATTAAGTGACTTGACAGAGGTGACACCACTTCAGAGCCCAGTTTCTGAATTCCTAGACTATTAATTGTAGCAACCACACTATCTTTCTTAACTCACTATTAACTTCATAACTTTAAGGTTCTGGATGGGGAGGTGCAGGTTACCTGATGGTGGTGTTAAGAGATTTGACATTATATGATTAGTGGTATTAGAGAACGTGACTACATTCAATAAAGGATTCATAGCCAACTCTCTGAGCAGCAGCTCATTAAACTCTCACATCAGGAACTTTTGGTTAGTTTACGTGGAATCAATTGGGGTTCTTATTATTGCACACTATTATTTAAAACAGTAGCACACATTTAAAATATTCAGAACCTGGGACAGTGCCTAGCACATAGCGTTCAATAAATATCTGTTGAATAAATAATTTGAATGAACTTTTTAGAAAAGTCAGCGTTTTTCTTGTTGCACATAAATTTTTTTAAACGGAACCTAAGTGTTAATTTCAGGAAATGAGAAAGTAAGACACAGCAATAAAGCCCCAATTCAATAATGTGCTTTGAAAACCTGACAACTTTTCTCCTGCTTTTCAGTTCAATTCAATTTAATAAGCATTTATTTGGCATCCATTATCTGTAATGTTCTATGCTAGGCATTATCTGTAGGATTTGAAGATTAGTAAGGTCTCTACTCTCTAGGCTAATTCATTGCATTTAACTTGTGTTTGCCTTGATAAAGCTGATGATACCCACTGTGTTGGAAACCTATATTGAACATGTCCTCCAATAGCCAGGGTTATTAAACCCAAAACTGAATTAACACAAATGGAAGCTGTGTAATTTCTTTCCTTGCAGATTTGATATTGAGTTAACACACCAATCAAGGAATGGTTTAGTCACATTCCTACCAGAAATCAGGGAACACCTCCAAATGAATCCTAGAGGTCTCTTTCAATCCTGTACCCTTCACAGCGAAGTAAAAAACAATTCGCAAACAGTTCCTGGTATTTCTTACACACAAGTGAGAGAACACCCATAAGTCTTAGGCATCCTATTAATTGTCCAGAGAGGGCTCAGAAGAAAGCTCTTAAAATAAAGTAGAATATAAAATGATATTGATCCTTTGAGAAAAACATTAACTATCTAGGACATTATTTTCTCCACTTTATTATCTCCCTTTCTTGCTGTACAGTACTATTTCATAACGTCACATTACGTACACAACCTAATTTCATCTTATTACATATTTCAGCAGTTCCAACCCCTGAGTTGTGTGGTGGTTAAATAGATCCATTATCTGGAAAATATGGTTTGAATAGTGGCTCCAACACTTACTAGCTTTAAAATGGGAATAATAATAGTATTTCTCTCTTCAGATTCTTGGTGTCTTTTAAATAGTAGTAGTAATCAACACAGAGCTCCTTCCTCGTGCCAGGCCTTGTGCCAAGTGTTAAATATTAGCTCATTTAATTTTCACAAGGATGAGTTGAAATTTCACAACACTATTAGACTGATTTTTTTCAAAATCCATACACAAAACCACACTTTACCCAAATCTTGTCTGTTAACACACACACACACACACACACACACACACACACACACACACAAATGGGAGCACTGCTGGTGGTTTTTTGAAGAAGAAAATTAAGTTGGAAGAAATGACAGAAATAAGAGGAAGAAAGAATCATACATATTATTCTAAAATATGTACTGTACTGAAATTTACATGTTGAAATGTTTCTTGGAAACACCTGTTAGAGTCGAGACTTTTCCATCGCAGTAAATCAGAGAAACAAGGTAGAGTATTTTCCTTCTCTGAAAGCTCTGATTCTAAAAATGATGTTGCAAAATGACATTGTGGAAATTCACATTCTAAATGTATTTACTCTACCTACCAAAATTAGAATCATTCCAAATGGCTCACCTAGGGAATTTAAAAAGCCGAAATTTCTGGGACCAGGAAATACAAAGGTATGTCCTGTTTTGTCTCTCCAGTAAGATATGGCACACCTAGGGTGCCAGGCTACCATTATGGGACTGCTGAGGAATCCAGCCCTGCCCAGAAAAGGGAGGAGAGCTGCTCCATATTGGCAGTGGGATATGACCTCCACCCACAGTCACGGAGGGTCAGGGGCGTGTTTGAGACGGAAGGACAAGAGAGAGAGAACTGCCAGTGCCTCTAGCTCCATTTTCCACCTCACTTTTGTGCCCTCCCTCAAACCACCTACCTTCCAGTTTCCGCCAGCTACCACCTCCCCAACCAACGTAGCTCCTTGTTTATTATGCCAAGTCTTAAAAAGAAAGAATACCTAAAGACATTCGAACTCTAAGAATTTATACTTTGAAGTCTGAATGTGAGTGTAAGAAGAAAAAGACTCTGCTAAAAACACACATACACAAAATCCTGCATTTGGCATCATACGAGACTCAGTTTTCCCCCTAAAAACTAGTGTCTAAAAATTACCCTGCATCCAACCTGGTCATATAATGGATGGAAGGCCAAATATAAGACATGAAAAACAGTGTGTTGATTTAAATGTCACCTGTAGAGTCATGATACATAATCCACGCTAGATTCTGTTCTTAAATTATTTAATTGTTGAGCTAAACATAAGAAAACATTGTATGCCAAGAACAAAATGGTGACAATCGTATTTCACTTTATTTTAATTAGCATTTTTCTGATTTTGCGTGAGGTTACGCATTCTTTTTCATGTGTGTAGGAACGTTTGGATTAGCTTTTCTGGTGACTTTTGCCCATTTTTCTTTTAGGTAACATCTTTTAAAAATTATATGTAGGATCTTTTATATATTTAACAAATTAACTATTTGTGATGTGTTGCATATATCTTTTCCAGTTTATCCATTGCCTTTTAATTTAAAAAATTTGTTTTGTCGTGCAGAAATTTCTGATATTTATGTTGTCAGTCTTTTATGATAGCTGAGTCTTCTACCGTGCTCTGAAAAGTCTTCTCCACTCTCAGATTTGATTTTTAAAGTCTTGTATCATTTCTAAAAATTTTATGGGTGTTTTTGTTCACACTCTTGGTCCACTTGGAAGTTTTTTAATGTAAGGAGTTTGGTAGAGACCCAATTTTTTTTCCAGAGGGCTACCCAGTTGTCCCCAAACATTTATTGAATAATCCATCATTTTCCCACTGACCTAAAATACCAACTATATATATCATGTACAAAATTCCTATATATACTTAGGTTTATTC